GGAGTGAAGCTAATTACAGCATCAAATAAAGTAACGGCGTGTCACCTCAACAATTATCGAACAAAAAAGAAGAATTTCTGCTCATCGTAATTAGCGGTTTGGGCTAACGCTACGCTCTGTCTGGCCCACGTCTGGGCTTCATCCGGTCTGGACCACATCAGGACATGAATCAGTGTCTGTCTCCAGGAGGAGAGCAGATAAAGGAGCGCCCTCAGAGACGATCCGACCTGTACCTGTCAGTGACCAGCAGGGGGCGAGAGACCACGGAGACCAGGAGAGGTCGCCATGAAAGGGTAAGATCAATGGGAACGCTGCAGGGAGGGGGGTGAAGTGGGGGGTGACCCATGACCCCAAAGAATTGACCTCAACACGCCTCTCTGACCCTAGGGGTCAGTGGAGGTACTGCAGCTGGGGGCCAGACTTAAGACGTAATCATCTGGGATTCGACAACATCTGCGTTAAGCCTTAAGACACACACACACACACACACACACACACACACCCCCGCCCGGTGCCACTTCCTGTCCAAACAGGAAACTGCTCCAACAATGACAGTAAAACGTGACGACATGGAAACGTCAGGATCATCATGTTATTGAAATCTGCTGTGTCCAAACCTGGGTTCTGGGCCCAATCACGGCCCGTTGGTTGATTGGTTCGACTAATTGACTGAGAAGGTTTGATTGGTTCTGAGTTGATGTCAAGACTCAGGTGTTGATGTTCCTGAACCTGATTCCAGGAACTTCCTGTCTTTCCTGTTCCAGTTCTTTTGTCTTACAGTTTCCTCTGCCGTGGACAACACACCTCAGATGTCTTCTCCAGATGGACACAGAGCGCCGCTTCCCCCTGGTGGCGTCACAAATAGGTCCTAACGACAAACAGAAGGGCGTCCATAAATACACCTGAGGTCAGGGGGGTCAGAGGGGGGGGTCAGAGGGGGGGGGAGGAAGTCCTTCCTGCTGTGACGTCACAGTGTGAAACAACAGGTCGTTTGAACAGAGGTTCATCCTCACACACACACACACACACACACACACACTCTGGTACAATGTCTCAGTGAGCCTTCCATGTGGGGGGGTGGGGTGATTAACCAAACCCCCATTTTCTCCTCAGTGGAGACAAATGGAGGCGTTGAGGACCGGGCGTCTCAGCTCACTTCGTCCAATGATGTCGTCCTCGTGACGACACACGGCAGCGGGACGTCAATCGTCTTTGGTCAAAGTCCGTATCCCAGAAGGCTCAGCTTCGGACCAGTAGCTAAATGACATCCCCAGACGGACAATAGAGGAGACGGAGGTCAGTCCAACGCCGCGGCCGTCTCTCTGTCTGCTTCCTGTTGTAAAGCCCTCTGGAAGGAAGTGATGGACGGTCCCTAATGCTCAGGCCATTGTGGGACGTCCTGTATGAGTTCCTGTCCTGGACAATGGGACCAGCACCGGTCCAGCTGGGACCAGTCCAGTCCAGCTGGGACCAGTCCAGTCCAGGACTTTGGCCGGTCTTTTGGCATCAATTGAAATTAAAATAATTCAGAGTTGACCTGAAGAGACTTCCTTTCATTGACTCATCATCTTTAGCGTAGCTGCTAACGGTTAGCTGCTAACTGTAGGTCTGATAAGAGCCGTAAAAGGAAAGATAACAGAGCATCACAGCTGAGAGTTAGAAAAAAACAACAATGTTTGTGACTTTAATTATCACTAGATTAGGAAAAAAGAGCTAAAGGTTAGCTTGATTGATCTTAGCTTAAGTTGAGATTTAGCTCAACTTTGAAAGAGTTCAGCTTCACTGTTTTAAAGATCTTAGCCAAACCTCCCCCCCCCACCCCCCCAACAATGGACTCTAACTCTGATAATGGGAGGAAACAGGAGGGCGGGGGGACGGGGGGGGGGGGGGTTCTAAACGAGGGACACGTCCTGTCCTGGACAACTGGACCAGTCAGGTTTGTCCCGTCAGTCTCACGTTTAAATGCAGCTAAATGTTAGCGCAGCGTTCAGGGACTGACCTGGATCCACTCCCTGCTGCTGTCGTCCGACGGCGTCCATCCGTTCTCGTGGTAGTTGAGCCGAGAACGTTCCGCAGACCAGTTGGCGTTGTACTGGGAGGAGGCGGTGATCTGCCCCGCGCTGATCTCTCCCGACTCCATACCCATGGACTCCATGCAGGTGAACGCTGCTGAGACACAGACACGGAGGTCAGACTGCAGCCTTAAAGGTCAAAGGTCAAAACGTCTGTTAACGTGGGAAGAAAAACAGCTGTGTTCTTAAAACAAAGTTAGTAAAAACATAAAAAAAACAAAACAATAAACAGCTGTTAACAGACAGACGTTGGCTAACAGTTAGCCACAGGTTCCGTATCATAAAAACCCTAAAGCTAACAGAGATTTAACTAGAACCCAGAGAAGCTAAGGCTAACTTAAAGACGAAGACGTTCAGACCTTTGACCAGACACGGTGTGAACTCCTGCAGCTCCTCGTCCTCACTCCTTTTTTTTTTTTAATTTTCTCTCTCGTTTCTCGACACTCGTCTACTTCTGTCCTCATCTTTAACTCTGACATTTTGACCCACGGTCCCTGAACCCAGCACAGCAGCACCGGGCGACACACGTCACCTCCCTCTGGGCTCCTGCACCACCCAGGAGGAGAGGCCGCCGTGTCGGCCGATCAAAGCCTCAGCTGGAGGTGGGTCAGAACCATAAATCCACACACACCGCTGGACCTGTTCTGGTCGTCGGGGGGTTGGGGCAGATTTTAAATCAGTGTCGCCTGTATGACCTTTGACCTCACCTTGAGCCTGAAATATACACGGAAACTCACGAGACAAATACACAAAGTCAAAAACGACACTGACGGTGTCTTTACTGTCGTTGTAAGTGACCACTAGAGGTCAGCCTGCAACACGCAAACGCTAGAGCTAGCTCTAAGGGCTAGCCCAGGCTAACTACAGGTTGTTTAAACACCGTGATAACCAGTGAAATGTTGGCTAGTGTTGTTGTGATAACCAGTGAAATGTTAGCTAGTGTTGTCTAAATGTTAGCTATTGTTGTCTAAATGTTAGCTAGTGTTGTCTAAATCTTAGCTAGTGTTGGCTAAATGTTAGCTAGTGTTGTCTAAATGTTGGCTAGTATTGTCTAAATGTTGGCTAGTGTTGGCTAAATGTTAGCTAGTGTTGGCTAAATGTTGGCTAGTGTTGTCTAAATGTTAGCTATTGTTGTCTAAATGTTAGCTAGTGTTGTCCAAATGTTAGCTAGTGTTGGCTAAATGTTGGCTAGTGTTGTCTAAATGTTAGCGATTGTTGTCTAAATGTTAGCTAGTGTTGTCCAAATGTTAGCTAGTGTTGGCTAAATGTTAGCTAGTGTTGGCTAAATGTTAGCTAGTGTTGGCTAAATGTTAGCTAGTGTTGGCTAAATGTTGGCTAGTGTTGTCTAAATGTTGGCTAGTGTTGGCTAAATGTTAGCTAGTGTTGGCTAAATGTTAGCTAGTGTTGTCTAAATCTTAGCTAGTGTTGGCTAAATGTTAGCTAGTGTTGTCTAAATCTTAGCTAGTGTTGGCTAAATGTTAGCTAAAGCTGAAAAATACAATCACCACCCAACCTGATCAGGACAGAATGACTTTAGTCTTTGGAACAGATGTCTCTGCCTGCTCTTTCTTCACAGCTAAAATCCCAGCATGCACTGCTGTGGACCCAGAGCTGAGTCCATATGTTCCGTTGTTGTGTTTAATCAATAAGTCATTTCTCTTTTCAGATGAGTCAAAGCTACTTTATCTCCACGCTGCATGAGGCCCACAGCCGCTGCTGCAGGAGACCCTGACGTACATTTGACCCCCCCGCCGTCACAGGGTCCAGACGTGTTTGATCCTTGTGGACAACAGTGGTATTTACTGTTTGAGCAGAGAGGATTATTTTATTATTATTTTTACGACAGGAGTTTGTAATGAGTTCACGTCTCGTTGTTGATGAAAGAAGAACATCAGCAGCAGCAGCAGCAGTAACAGCAGTAACAGCAGCAGCAGCAGCAGTAACAGCAGCAGCAGTTACAGCAGCAGCAGCAGCAGCAGTAACGGCAGCAGCAGCAGCAGTAACAGCAGCAGTAACAGCAGCAGTAACAGCAGCAGCATCAGCAGCAGCAGCAGCAGCAGCATCAGCAGCAGTAACAGCAGCAGCAGCAGCAGCAGCATCAGCAGCAGTAACAGCAGCAGCAGTTACAGCAGCAGCAGCAGCAGCAGTAACAGCAGTAACAGCAGTAACAGCAGTAACAGCAGCAGTAACAGCAGAGGTTCTTCCTGGTTCAATGATGAAAGTGTGTTTTCCAGATCAGGTGAACGACAGACGACAGGAGAGAAGCTCCATCTGCTGAAAATATCAGACCAGAAGACTGAGAGGAGGACCACCTGAGAGGACACTGTCCCCGTCCCACTGGAGGACATGTCGTTTAGCGCTGACTCAGACTGTCTGTCTATTTTCTGCCCTGCAGACAACAATAAACCACCACAGAAAACTGTCTGAGCCACAAAAACCCACTTCATCTGTGTGAGGCACACATCCCCTAGGGGGCGTCAAAGCGCATCAGCGGTGGCGTGAACTGCAAACCTATTTGAAACTGAACGGATGGATCGGTTCCACGTCCGGTCAGGAGCTACAGAAACGACTGTACTCACCCTCTGGTTCGTGTCCCGGGGGGAGGCTCCTCTCCCGGATGGTGTAGTTGGCGGAAAAGCCCTCCCTGACGATGGCGTTGTCCGTGGTGATGGTCATGGACAGGATCCCGGTGTAGGAGATGACACGTCCGGGCGAGGCCTGACCGCAGTACCTGCCGATGTGAGGTCCCACTGGTGGAACAGAGGGAGAGGAGAACGTCAGCCGTCACTGGGAGCTGGCAGTGAGAGCTGCTATGACGTCAGCAGGAGGCGGAGCCTGTGCTGACCAGGATGGACACCGTCCTCATTATTATTATTATTATTATTATTATTCAGGTGTTTGATTTGGTTTTGAGTTCCTGGATTTAAACCAGTCAAACCTGGGATTCAAACCAGCAACCTCGGATCAGAACAGTACATGTACCACTGACAGGGGACCGTCCTAGAGACCAGGAGGAGGTGAAGAACCTGCGTCTTTGTCTCTCACCGAGACAGGAATAACGACATCACCTCCACGTGTTCTCCTATAAATAAACTCCACATCTGTCAGAACCTTCTAGAGAACAGAGACCTCAGAGTTCAGTCTGAGTCTGTCATCGCCTTCACGGCTCACGGTCCAGGAAGTTAAATTAGGATCAGACGTTTACACTTCCTCCAACACAGTCGTCACTGTTGTTACAGTCGTTACTGAAGTTACAGTCGTTAGTGTTGTTGCAGTTGTCACTGTTGTTACAGTCGTTACTGCTGTTAGTCTTCACTGTTACAGCCATCACTGTTGTTACAGTCGTTACTGCTGTTAGTCTTCACTGTTACAGTCATCACTGTTGTTACAGTCGTTAGTGTCGTTACAGTCGTTAGTGTTGTTGCAGTCGTCACTGTTGTTACTGAAGTTACAGTTGTCACTGTTGTTACAGTCCGTCACTGTCGTTACAGTCGTTAGTGTTGTTACAGTCGTTAGTGTTGTTACAGTTACAGTTTAAATCAGTTCCATTTGTCAAACCAAGTTCCAAAAGTCGGTTCCACGCTCATGTTCAGGTGTTGGTTCCTGCTCCTGCTCTCCTCATCTCTCATTTCATACTCCACCTGCAGGGGGCCCAGTCATCCTTTGTTCTCCCCCCTGTTTGTTTGTTTGTTTCTGTAAACTGAGCTCTGACATTATTTCAACACATAACTGATCATCAAATGTTTTTAAATATTTTTTCTTGTAATAAACTTGTGACACATTATTTAAATGTTAACGCAACACAATTCCTCAAAATAAAAAATACTAAAAAAAAAGAAACCTCCATTTTCCCCCGTCATGTGACTTGGCTCTTGTCCTCACCTGCAGGAAATCCATCCCAGATCTCCAGCCAGTCATATCTGCAGAGGGCACCAGGGGGCGGCGTGGTGTCGGGCTCCATATCAAAGCTGTCAAACTCCACCACGATCTCCGACATCTTCGGAGCAAAGATCATGAAGGTGCAGTCCAGGTTGTTGGGGTATTTGTCAGGGAACCCCGGGGTCTTGATGACGCCCCGGGGGGCCGTGAAGTTCCTGGAGCATTCTGGACCTGAGGGGGGGGTAAGAAGAGGTGGAGGTGTCAGGGCTGTGTTTGGACAGGGGGGTGTGAACTGTCAGAGGTCAGAGGTCAAAGGACAGGTCAGCTTGAGTGAAGCAGCTCTGGAATGTGACACTGATTTAAACTGGGATAAAACACGTGCTGTGGTAACATCCAGTTAGCTTCGATTAGCTTTAGCTAGTTTTAGCTAGTTAGCTATCGTCGTTACTTTTGTTAGTTAACTTTGTCTGATTTAAAGAAGGAGTTTTTTAACCTTCAAATTTGAGTCTTTTCTGCCAATGAGTGAGAATTTGTTTTGTAAATTTTAGTTGAGTTAAATGGTCCAAATGTTAGAAATGTTTATGTTGTTGTTGTTGTTTCAGCTAATTTTTTATTAGACGGTGGACAAAGTCAGTCTAACATGGTACTACTGTAAATGTGGGCCACGTGATGGAGACTTTGGTCACCACTGTACGTACCAGCTGCAGGACCAGTAAAGTTCTAAACTGTGACCTCTGAAAAACACGATTCATGAAAAAAAAAATAAAAACAAAAACAAACAACAAAACAATCGTCCAGTGAAGACTACTGTTAGTCTTCACTGTTACAGTCATCACTGTTGTTACAGTCGTTACTGAAGTTACTGTTGTTACAGTCGTCAGTGTTGTTACAGTTGTCACTGTTGTTACAGTCGTCACTGTTGTTACTGAAGTTACAGTCGTTAGTGTTGTTGCAGTCGTCACTGTTGTTACAGTCGTTACTGAAGTTACTGTCGTTACAGTTATCACTGTTGTTACAGTCGTTACTGAAGTTACTGTTGTTACAGTCGTCACTGTTGTTACAGTCGTCAGTGTTGTTACAGTCGTCACTGTCAAACCAGATTCCTGGCACTTTTTTAAATCAGTTCCATTTGTCAAACCAAGTTCCAAAAGTCGGTTCCACGCTCATGTTCAGGTGTTGGTTCCTGCTCCTGCTCTCTTCATCTCT